ATGAAATTTTAATGTAGACACATGTAGAAGGAAAAAAAAATTTTTTAAAAAAATGTTATTGTGACTAATCAGGAAAGTATGAACAACCAACCGGATGGATAAACCTGCTAACGAGTGAAATGGCTAGGCAGTTACGAGCAGCTCGGCCTTTGTGTGGCACAGGTACCCTCATCAAGATCATCAAGATCATCAACTCTGTCTTCGATTGAATTCCCGGTTGAATATAATCGTAATCGTGGTCCTCCCTTATCGTGGATTCGTAACGAATTTTTTTTTTATTTCAAAATTTTTAATTAATTTAAAAGAATTTAATTTTAAATTAAGCAGAGGAAGTCGGTAATAATGAAATTAATTTTTAATTAGAAGACATTTAAATATAAGAACGTCAGGTTAAGTTGCATTTTTGTGACGGTCGTTGCTATCTTTCGGATTAGTTTAATAAAGGTTCACTTTAGAAAAAAATTAAAGTCTAAATATATTTATTTTTGATTTTTCCTTGTATGTAATTTTTAATCTTGAAAATTTTTGATTACTTTTGAAAATTCATTGCACGTACTTCTTCTTCCCTCGACATCGGGTGAAGAGCGTTCTACTAACGAGCTTTAAAAAGTTTTTATTCGCCTCTTCCGAACGGTAAATTAAGAAAAGAATTTATATAAGAAAACGTTACAAGTCTTTATCTAGGTTTTGTCTTATTCTCACTTCCACCTCGTCGAATTTAGAAAGTTTAAAGCACTTCCGGCAACCTTCTCTTATATTTTTAGTTACGTATCCACGGTACGAAGTTCCACGTTTTAATACGTAACTTAGCGATGCCAATTCCTTCTTGCTCGCCAGCCACTGCACCAAGGATATTGTTTTTGGTTGAGTGCTTCTTGGAGTCTTTTGTAAACTTTCAAAGTATTTATTTCCAAACTTGTATTTCACTCATTTTCAGTTCACTAAATTCTTATATTGTTTCAATTTTACTTATCAATTTTGTTTCTTAACAATTCACTTCACAATTATCAATTAATCACTAGATTTAATAATAATGAACAAAAAAATCTAATTACAGTAAATCATTCAATCTTGGAATATCCGTTACAACCTTCAATAAAAATATTTAACCCTTTGAAGCATACATTTTACTAGTCAAGCAATTTAATGACCAAGTGCACTTTAGAAAGTTTTCAGGGTTGCTTATTAACAATCTGAAGTCGGATTTTACAAATTTTTAAAATTCAAAATGGCGGATTCAATATGGCGATCATTTTTTTAAATTTATCGAATTTGCTTGAAACTTTTTACTTTTAGGGGTTTTTGGGGTCGCTGATTACAAAATATGAAGTCAGATTTTCAAAATTCAAAATGGCGGACCTAATATGGCGAAAGATTTTTTAAAAATCGAACACAGATTTGCTTCAATCTTGTTAAATCGATATCTTCATGTTTTATACTAATTAAAGATGACAAATTGATAAAATCATTATTGTATATTATAAGAATATTGTACTTGTTCAAAATTATTTTCATCATTTCAATTCAATTATTATTTTAAAGAATTTTTCTCTAAAATTTGTCTTTAAATCAATTACTTTTCGAAAAAGTTCTTCAACAATTTTAAAAATCCATTTATTTACAATATTCAATTTTACAAAGTTCAATTATTCGTAAATTCTTCAATTAAATATATATTAGAAAATAAAAACTTCAAATACTATTAAAAAAATTCAATTAATTTTGAATTTCAAAATTCAATTATTTCTAAAAATTCACGCTATATTGCTTTTAATATTCAATTATTATATCTAAAATTTTAACTCAAATTTATTTTTAAATTAATTTTCATAAGAAAATTCTACTAGAATTCAATTATTTAAATACAAAAATAAATAATTAATTGAACAATTGAATGTTTCTTAAAATTCAAATCTAATAAAGAATTTTATCAATATACGTTTTAATAATGAAATTCTATCGATTTTTAATATAACTTTTAAGAATTTTCCGAGAAATTCGATTAAAATTGTATTAAAAATAATTAAAATTTTGCATTGAGTTATATTATTTATTTGTTTATGAAAATAATTGAATTTCTAAGAAGAATTTTATTATTTTTAAACATAATTAAATTTCTGCGAAGGATTTTATTACTCTTGAAATCAATTAAATTTCTGCAATAATTTGTAATTTCTCTAAAATTAAATTTTTTTTAGTTAATTAAAATTTTTCTATATAAATTCATTATTTTTAATAATTTTTGAAAACTTTTTTGTGAATTTTCAAATTCATTTGTTTTTAACTGAAATTCATTTTTAAATAAATTTTTATTAGAAAATTCTACTAGAATTCAATAATTTAAACACAAAAAATGATTTATTGAATATTTCAATGTTTCTTAAAATTGAATTCTTATAAAGAATTTTATCAACAAATTTTTAAATAGTTGAATTTGTTTGACGAATTTTTATAAAATTTTTAATAATACTTACATTTATCGAGGAATTTGATTAAAATTTTATTATAAATAATTGAAATTCTGCGATGAGTTTTACCTACTATTTATGAAAATAATTAAATTCCAAAAAAGGATTTTATTATTTAGAAAAATTATTGAATCCCTGTAAAAATTTTATTATTTAGAATAATAATGGAATTATGTTGCGAAGAAATTTATAGAAAATTTGTAAATAATTGAATTTTTGTGAAATTTTTATTATTTTATGCAAGTAATTAAATGTTGGCGTAAAATTATATAAAAGTTTTTTTAAACAATTGAATTCTTTTTGAAAATTTTTTTAACTATATTTAAAATAATTAAATAGAAAAAATTTTTTGAAAGTAATTGAAATTTTACCAAGAATTTTGTTATAATTTTTGAAAATAATTGAATTGCGGATAAGAATTTTATTATTTTATAAAGATAGTTGAAATTTTGATGAGAATTTTTAAAAATTTTTGAACATAATTGAATTTCTGCAATCATTTGTAATTTCTCTAAAATTCTTCAAATTATATCGTACAATTTACGAACTTTTCGTCCTTTTTTAATCAAATTACGGACTTTACGGACCTTTTTTTAAAAAAAAACTGACTTTTACGGATTTGAAGCAAATTTACGGACCTAGTTCGAGCCATGTAGCAACCATACAATAATATAATGTTAAAAAAATTATTTCATGAAATTTATATTCTTTCTAATTAAAAATTACTAAAATTTAGTAGAATTCATGTAGAAATTCTATAGAATCGTTCTAGTGAAATTCTACAGAATATTCGCTAGTATTCATATAGAATGATTCTATAGAATAATTCTAGTGAAATTCTATAGAACTTTTTCAGCTGGGATATTGGATCCGACATTTTGAATTTTGAAAATCTGACTTCTTATTTGTAATCAGTGACTCAAAAAACCTACAGTGAAACTTGCTACAGTGAGTAGCAAGTTTCAAATGAATTTGCTCAATTTTAAAAAATAAGTCCGCCATATTGGATCCGCCATTTTGAATTTTTAAATTTAGTTTAACAGCGTATTTAAAATTTTAAACGATTGGCTTAGCAGATGTTGAGCTTAGTTGGTGTTGAGCATCGATTACTATTTTTCGATGGTGCTTTACACGAAAATTATTTTAATAATAATATCCGTAATATCGTGGAGAAGTAAAGTATTCAGTTGAAAAAATTAAACATAAGTTTACTTTTAGTTAAAATTCTTAGCAAATGTTTACATCATACCAAGAAGCACTCAAATATCAAAATATATGCACTGCATTATTTTCGAATAATTTTCAATTGGGAACTTTAATGTGTGTGATCGCAGAATGGGTAGTCCAATATGTTTTATATACGATGTTCGATGTTTATGCTTTTTTCTCTTGCAATACGTGTATACATATAATATATATACTATGTGACCATGCATACACAAGTTCTATGACACTTAAAATAATTATTATCGTAAACTGTATCGGAAAACAATTTTTTTTTGCATTGAAAACAAAGTTTTATTAATCCTACTTGAAAGTGTATTTTTAAATAACAGCATTACAAATTTAAATTATATTTTATGTACATCGAACACTGAATTTCAATTGCACCATAGAGTATGGACTCCTTAAAGAAACATAGGTTTCACTTGATAAAATAATCCTTAGTGACCTCATAGAGGTTCCCAGATAGTTTGTCCACAAAACACTGGTTTCATTTTAATAATTTTGCAGTTAAATTAAAAAAAACTATAAAAATAGCTATTTTTTTTGTTAATTATAAAATTAAGTATTAAAGAAAATCAATTTCAATTTTATTTATACAAAGCACGAAGTTTTTTTTTTTACTAAAGAATGTTTTAGAAATACCATGTAAATAAAAGTTAATTGTATAGATACGTTTTCTCACGTTTTAGACGTTCGCGACTTAATGAGAATTACTGAGGCCATAGTTTTTCTTCGATACAAACAAATTACACAAAGAGCACACCACTAATGTCATCGCACGTGCATGCAGTGGCGCGGCGATAGCACCAGAGTGGGGGGAATGTTATATATTTTCTACTATAAATTTGTATTAAATAAATTATATATATATACTCTAACAAAAAGTCTCCTTAGGAAAGAGGGTACCTGCAAATACATCGAGCTATGGCTGCGACACTGTTATTATAAATAATATTCATTTGTTTTCTCTATCATCCTAACTAATTAATTCACTCTTTTCTATTTTTTACGACAATATTTGATTTCTTTCACTGATTTTTAAAATTATTTTTAATTTAAACGATTCCGGGAAATTTCTGTGAGTCGACATACAAAAAATTTGGGAAAGTTACTCCCTGGAAATGTTTCGGTTTTTATTTTCACTCTCGGTATCTTTTCCAGCAACTTTTTCATGTGGGTTCTGTATGTAACTTTACGGATTTGTTAAAAATTTCAGTAAATTGTTGTTTTGTGTTAGAGAAGAAAATATTACTTTGCATATAATACTGTTAATAGAAATAATTTCTCAAATAATAAGAAAAGTCATTAAATAATCAGAATTAAATTTTAATTAACAATTTACTTATATTCTTTACAATAAATCAGACAAACAATCCGAGGTTAATTTCTTCAAACTTGTAATTACATTTTCGATCTATCCATTAAAAACATGACATAATGTCGTTTGCATAACAAATCATTTTTCTCTAATTATTTATTCAAATTTCAATATTAAACTTTTGAAATTTTAAATCGACTTCATATCAGTAGCACTCCTATATAGTTTAAGGAATTTTGAACCTTTCTGCTTTTTCCGGAGATAGAGGCTCTTCGAAATAATCTATAAGATCCGTACTTAGAATCATCTTTGACAAAATAGAACAACAATTTATAAAATGTTTAACCAATTTCCTAAATATTTATTTTTTCAATGTATCTTATATAATCATTTCTTTTATTTTACTGAACATGTGACCTCCTTTAAAAATTAAAATATAGAAAATATTTAAAACTTTTAAAGAAAAGATAAAAGATACTCTAATTCAGAGCAAAAGTCCACATTTCTTTTTCATCAAGATCGCATAAATTTCAATTTACCGAATTTTATATGTCGTCTAGTTAGTTACTTTAAATTCCAAATATAAATGCATTTGTCAATACTTGTACTGAATTATTAAAACAAACACAGAATCCGTTGTACATTATTGTAATTGAATATTCTAGTTAATTATGACGCATAGATTTATAAAGCATGTTAAAAGCATGATTGATTCTTATTTCAAAGATAATTACAATTGAGAAATATAATTTTCATAGAATATTAAATACTTTATGCCATTTTTCTCTGTGTATGGTACAAGGCTCCACCATCTGTTCCTGTAAATTTTGAAATTTCTTGAGATACGACAGTAGACAATAAAATAATAATTTAAATCTGAAGCAAAGGGCATTGAATCTCTACAGTAAAATATCCAACAGCAGGGAAAAATGACCAGATATTCTTTCAAATTTTATGTTAATATGAAAAAAGAAAAAGTATGACGTTTAAAAATTGTCACATTAAAATCCACTTATCGCATTTACTTTCCTTTCCAGCTTCGTTCTGCTGACATACTATAAGCTGAAAAAAATTTCTCTCCCTCTTTAATTGCGAAAGAGGTAAAATTTAATTAGACCAATTGCAATTATTACCACCAGTGAAACATAATGTTATCACAAAGACCTCTTAAATTTTCAATTTTAGTCTCTACTTCTATTCTTTTTTTCTTCACAAACAATGTGAATGAGAGGAAAAGAAGAAATTTTCAAGAAAATCTGTCGTCTCGAGGTATTTTCAAGTTTGTCAATATATCAGAGTCCAGATGTTACTTTCTGAAACATTATATGAGACACAAAGTTTCATTTTATAACAACAAAAGAATATCAAATAAAATACTGAAAAAAAATTCTAAATTTAAAAATATAACTTCTTTTTAAACAAAAAATTTTAAAAATTCAAAAATGTTAAACTTTTTTTCTTAATTGTTCGAAAATTTTATACAAAATTTAAAAAGAAGAAAATGCGATGAAAATTAAAGTGATGTAGGTATATATTAAGGAAAGAATTATTCTCGCACGTTCTAAGAATCTTTTCACTTGACCCTTTTCTTAATTGCATCTCTCTCTCATGTGAGCTTAAAATTCTCGGTCGCGAAACTTTCATCATTGCAAAAAGTAAAAATAAATCTGCGAAATTTTTTTTTTTTAAATTGATTTTAAATAAACTATAAAATGTTTGTTTTTTGGGATTAAAATGTGTATTTAGAGTATTAACATGACGACTTTTCATAATTCTGTAACATAATATTGAGATTTGTAAATTTCACAAAAATCGTCATTTAGTTTAATGCAATTTTTATTATAATACTAGAAATATTAGAATTGATTTTGAATTTGTCATGTACTCATATTGTCTTTTATAAGTTCTTGAAATCTTATAAGTTTAACTTTAATCCTCTTTTAGATAATACAATGGAAGCAATTGATGATGAGTTTTGATGACAAAGTAGGTGTTCTGCAAAAAAGAATCCCCTCAATTCTCAATAAAAATTCTTAAAAAGAAAAACACAAAAAGAAAAAGAAATTTCACACTATTTTAAATTATATTTTTATGTCCAGAGAAAAGTACATACTTGATCATATTTTAAAGATCTTAAAAATACGAATCTTTCAGAAATATAATTCATAAATAAAAAATATAAAAAATTGTATTCTTAAATTTGAAATGTTCTTCTTTTGATCGTATTTTATGGTCATTATCCGATCATTCAGTCACGGATTAGCCCCTATTTCAAACTCGACCAGTCTACCAAATTCCCTTGCGATAAGCTTTAACCAACCACGGTTCTTGAATTATTAATCGGGATTCATATGTGTGTGCATCAAGAGCATTTTCCTCTAAAGTAGAATGCAGCACTTTAGCGAGCTGCATTCTGATAAAATATTACAATTTCTTAAATTGATGATCATAGAAAACCTTACATTCGAATATCACTTTGGAAATAATTAATTTCTCTACTAATTTCTTACACAGAAATAAGATTAAATTATTAACGTTCTATTTATTAAATTACTTTTTATTTCCTAAAAAGAAACGTCCTTATATGTTCGAAATAAAGGTTCGTCGATTGTCCGCCACGTTGGATCCGTCATTTTTAATTTTTGAAAACTAACATTAAATTATTTTGTTGTTTTAATTGAACCGTCATAATTTAGTTGTTTCATTATTTAAGAGGCCTTGTACGGTTTTATTTTAAACATTTGATAAAGATCAGTATGAAGATCTACTCTTTGTTGACTTACAAGATCTTCAAATTTTTTAATATGAATATTTTTGCATATCTCTTTATATTTTAATAATTGTGATGTTAAATCATTAGTAAAATGTTTAAAAAAAATTCTTAGAAGAATTTCTAATTATAAAAAGTTCATAAAGTTTAAGTTGTTTGTTAATAAATGCAATTTCTTGATTAACATCAACAATCTCCAATTTAAGTATTTTAATAAAAGCAAAAAAACGTATTGAGTTTTCAATTTTGTTACAAATATTCTTTGAAAAAAAGTTAATATGAATATTAGTGTACAAGGCCTCTTAAATAATGAAACAATTAAATTATTTTATTATATATTTTTTGAATAAATTACATTCACAATTTTGTGATGAAGCAGTATGGAAAAATTGCTACCACGTTTTTAGGTGGGTCCTCAACTTCTTTGTAAGAAGTGAGGACTATTCAAATTAGCATGAAAATCCGTCTAAACTTTTTTAACATTAAGTAAAAAATTTCTGCTTAATTTTTAATTCTAAGTCTAATTATTAACTATGTAAGTAAATATATTTTCTGACAATTTTCATTCTTACTCTATTGCGGCTCCATTTGGGAGATTTTAAAATAAAATAATATTTTAAAAACTCCGAAGTCCTCCCTGTTTATTGCCAATGACGTCATTCATTGTTTCAGAATATTATTATTTGATAAAAAAAACTTTTCGAATATGCGCAGGAAGAATTGAACCTATTGATTGTGGCTCTTTTATAAAGGAAATGAAAGGAATGATTAAGTTAACAAAACGTGGATGGGTTTCAAAGGAGTGACATAGAACTTTTAAAGTTAGGAATACATACTCTTAGTATCTTATATAGATGTATGGATATCGAGTTAGAAGTAGGTTCTCAAAGTTCGAACCAGAAACACTAAAACTAAGAAGAGACGATATATATTAGGTAGTACATATATACAAGAGAAAGTTGATGCACTGTATAGAATAGATACGTACACCGTAAAAACGATATTCCAAATTTAAAAATTTATTGGTTTTTTATTTTATTTGCCTACAAAAAAGGATTTAAATAAAAATGTCTTTCCTATTTCAAGATTCTCTATGATTATCAATTTTATTTAAATACAAAATATTGAATAACAGAAAATTAAATAAATTTCTGACGAACACTTAACAGAGGCTGAGTTTGAACACTTAAAACTTAAATCCAGAATTTTCTGAAAATCAGTTTTTTTTTACTGATTCAGAAGCAAAAAGTCAGTCACTGATTTTTAACTGATTCGAATTTAGAGAGAATACCAACAATCAGGAGGTCGATTATAAAATTTTATTTCTACTTTGATTTTCATTTCCACTTTCACTTTGACAAAATTTTTATTGTCACTTTTCATCAAAGTGAATGTACAAATTAAGTGAAAGGCAAAATAAAAGTAAAACTTAAAAGTAAAACTTAAAAGTAAAATCTCTCAAAGTTCTACAAAATTTATATTTAAGCGAAAGTAAATAAAAAAGCGAAAAAATTCAATCTAAGTGAAAGTGAAAGTAAAAATAGATACTTATTAAAGTAAAAGTGAAAATGAAAACCGAAGTAAAAATAAAATTACATATTCGAGTTGGCAAAAATATTTAATTGATAATAAAATATTAATTAAACTCAACGAGAGATTAACGATAAGAAAGAGATTCCAAAAGTTCGTAAAATTATTTAAATTTGAAATTAATTTGGCTAATAATATTAAACCAATATTGAAATTTTCTCTGTAACCTCCGAAGATTATATAATCTTTTGTTACATAAACTGAATAAATTCTAAAATGAAATAATTTTTATTACTAGATTTAGCATAAAACATTAAATTTTATTATAAAACTAGCAACAATTCGCGCACGGCTGACTATTCACTCACTTTTTAAAATAAAATTAGCAATTTTAAAAATAATAGAACGTAAAAATTTTTAATTTAAATTTTTTTTTATAAAAATAAAATATGAATTTGAATATAAAGTTTTAATAATATTATAATGATAATAATGATATATTCTGACATAAGGAATTTAGGAAAAAGCCAAGAATTTTTATTAAAAGTAATGAAGAAAATTTAATTTTTAGAATTCATAAAATTCTCCAGTTTTGTGGCATTTTTGTATCTTTTAATTTCTGAAAAAAATTTCTTTTTAATCCTAAACAACTATCATTAAAATAAATTATTGAATGAATAATTTTACTTAAATATTTCAAAATTAATTAAATTTTAAAAGAGTTGCGTTTAGAATTTTCATAAATAAATGAACTTTGAACGGTTTCAATTTGAAATTTTATAAAATTTTAATTTTGAATGAATTTAATTAGAAATTTCAATAAACTTGGATATTTGAAAAATTTTAATAATTCAAAATCTAAAATTAGTTAAATTTGTCAATATATATTTAATTAATTAACAAATATAATGAATTTTTAGAAGAATTTTAGTTAAAAACACTAAAAAAAATTGAATTTTGAAGAAATTACAAATGATTGCAGAAATTCAATTATTTTTTTAAGTAATAAAATTCTTATCACAAAATTCAATTATGTTCAAAAATTACAAAAAAAATCTCGATAAAATTCCAATTTTTATTTTTATAAATTAAAAAATTCTTCTTTAAAATGCAATGATTTTCAAGAATTTTAATAAAATTCTTGTCAAAATTTCAATTATTTTCAAAAATTTTCCTCATTTCAATTACTTTTAATACACTTTCAACCAAATTCCATGAAAAATGTAAATATTTTAAAAAATTTTTATTAAAATTCGTCAAAAGAATTCAATTATTGAAAATTTTTAAAAAGAAATTATCTTTACAAATTAAAAAATTCTTCTTCAAAATTCAATTATTTTCAAGAATTTCAATTATTTAAAAAAATTTTCCTTAGTATTTTAAATACATTTTTAACCGAATTCCTTGAAAAATGTAATTATTCTAAAAGATTTTATTAAAATTCGTCAAAAGAATTCAATTATTTGAAATTTTGAAAAAGAAATTATCTTTATAAATTAAAAAATTCTTCTTCAAAATTCAATTATTTTCAAGAATTTCAATTATTTTCAAAAATTTTCCTTAATTGAATTATTTTAAATATACTTTTAACTAAATTCCTTGAACAATGTAACTACTTTAAAAGTTTTTATTAAAATTCGTCAAAAGAATTCAATTATTTAAAAATTTTAAAAAGAAATTATTGTTTTCGAATAATTTTACAATTGAACATATTCGTAAATAAATTTAACAAAACATTTTTTTCAATAACATTTTTTTATTTATTTTCCAATAATTCAAAAATACTAATTTTCAATTAAATTTTCTAATTGACAAATATAATTTTTAAACATTTTTTTCCTTTATTTTTAAAAAACTTTAAATTTTATTAAAACAATTGAAAACTAAGAAAAAGAATTGATACAAATTATTTCCTTATGAAAATTGAGAATTTCTTACAAAGATATGAAGAATAATAATTTAGATCAGTCAAACAAAATTTGTTATAGAATGAAAGAAAAGTTTCTTAAACTTCAGAATTTATAATTACAATCCTAAATTTAATAATAGCAACTTTAATAAAAATTTCCAAGATAATAACATATTTTTATTATATTTAGAGTTACATACACTGACACTATATACAAATAAAGTTAATCTGTTGTAGATTATTTTTTTAAACACATCTGACATAATCCCGAGTCGAAATTTAGACCCTACTTAGCCTCTGAAAATGTAGGGCTTATTCAGGTTTAGCAGTCGTAAAGTAGGGTCTGATTTCAATACAATTTTTAAAAACTAGACCCTCCTTTGACTCCCAAAATAGGCTGAAATTTGCCAATCTTCCATTTGGAGAAGCAAAGGAGGGTCTACTTCTAAGAAACCTATACCGTACTTTAAAACCTCGTAGACCCTACTTTCATACTCCTAGACCCTACAATTAGAAAAAGAAAAATTTGAAGATTTGCTCAGATTCAATTGAAGCACTAGGGATGAGTAAAAGTGGAATTTTATGTGTTTTATAGCGTCTATATACACGAAGTGTATATAGACGCTATAAAACACATCAGTATTTATGAATTTGGAGTACTTTTTGCATTTGCAGTGTTTCAAGTAATGCATTAAAAAATAATTCAAAATTTTCTTTTAGAATGTAGGGTCTAGGAATATGAAAGTAGGGTCTACGAGGTTTAAAAGTACGGTATAGGTTTCTTAGAAGTAGACCCTCCTTTGCTTCTCCAAATGGAAGATTGGCAAATTTCCGCCTATTTTGGGAGTCAAAGTAGGGTCTAATTGTATTAGAATTAGACCCTACTTTACTACTCCTAACACTCAATAGACCCTGAAAATTCAGGGTGAAAGTAGGGCTTAAATTTCGACTCGGGATATGATCAAATATTAAAAAAAAAAATATTAACAAATTTTAACCAACTGTTTTGTCACTAAATTATTTTAAAATAAAATTATTTTATTCAAAAAACATTGAAATCGAGTTTTTTGAAAAAATGTAGAATTTAATAATTTTAAAATAAATGCATTAAACAATCATTCCCTTTCTTTTTTGGGGTGAAAACGACTTTTTTATAATAAATTTACCTCGTATATAATCCCTTTAAAAGATAACTATCTAGATTTTTCCTTCTTTCCCGAGGGGTCGCTTTCGCCTTGGGACAAAAGATGGTTTCTCTGTTCTACACTCATAATGAACTTTACCCTCTTCATCTATTTCCATTGTAGTACAATAACCTGTAAAATAAAAATTATTTCTTTACAAATATTCAGTTATAAATCAAATAGTAATAAAATAATAAAATTAAAATTATTTATTTAAGTTTAGTAAATTATAAAAAAAATATCAAACGAAAAACTTGAAAATTATTAGAAAAAAATTTTTCATTATTAAAATATTAAATCGTTTTTAATATCAATTATGGAAATTTATAATTACCTAAACCTGCTGATGCTGGCTCAAAAACTTCAGAATGAAAATACCTACATGCCCAAAATGTTTCGGTATCTTCTACAGGTATTATACATTTTCCTAAAAAAAAATTAATACATCATCATTTGAAATAAATAAAGAGAAACTTTTTTTAAGGTGTAAAATTTTGATACATTTTTTTTAAACTTACTAAGTTCTGGAATTATTGTAACATTATATGAGAATCCTTCCAGAGGTTTACTTTCAATATTATAAAGTAGACAACAAACTATTAAAATAACTAAAGAACGCATGTTATTTCTTTTATACTTAAACTTTTTACTTCTTAAATGTATTAAAATGGGAAAACTTATTTTCTCTAAACATTCAGTACTTTATTTGGTCGTTTTTATACCTTTATTTCCTTATCTTTACAGATAAGACAACTATTGTACAAAATACCATCAATATTTATTATTTCAATTGATCGATACAATTTTTTTTTCAAGGACAATAATTTTGAATGGAAAACATTTTTAATTTATTGTATACTCCTATTCTCGTTTACAATTGATGTTAATTATTAATTTTTAATGTATTTCTTTACATAATTTATATTTTACTAATTATGTACTATGGACAGAATTTAATATAATATTAATGTACACACAAGTGTTACGATTACGAAACAAAAGAGAAATATTGCCGCATAAGAAGTTATAGTTGGTAATAAAAAGATTAGAAAGGCAAAGATAAAATATTTATCGAAAGATTAATATATTTCCGATAACTAGAATATTAATTAAAAAGCAGAAAAGTTACAATTTTCCTTTAAATCAAGGAAAAATTTAATTATAACAACCTCAGTAGTATTCATTTTGAGTCAGGATGTTATTGATTTGAAACATTCAATAGAATGCATGTAACAATTAATGGATTGAGAGTAGGTGTCACAAGTATTCATATCACACGTCTTTAGTTTCATTTTCCAATAAAAATTTGCAAATTTGACGAATTTCTTGTCATTTTTTTTTCTAAGGCAGTTTAAAGGATTTGAAAAGTAGAATTTTGAATGAAAATTAGAGAAAGAATTATAAAGTGAAAAGAAGCTTAATTCTCGATACAAAATGTTGATGTTAAAATTTTGAACTTGTTTTTATAATTATATACAAAACTGAGGACTCAATGCCATGACACCTGATGACACCAAAAACATTTCGATGGTCATTTGTGACTAAGACTAATATTTTAATGTTCTTACAATAAAAATTTCAAACTCTTTTTCTCTGTATGTTAAAAACAATTTTTTCGATGTATTCAAAAAATATTAGAATGTTTCTAAATGTTTTGATGATTGATCGTATTCCAATAAACTACTCTTTTACTATTTGACTCATTGTTTAAAGGCTTTTTGTGTGCTCGTGTGTTTTTTTTTCAAAAAATGGCAAATAGAAAAACCAGTTTATATATCTATCGGTGCTGAATTTTAAACAAATGTCCTTTATTTGCATGACAGTTATTATATATAACAGACGATTTTTAATATAGAAACGAATTTCAGCATCGAATGATATAAAATGAGTGGTGAAACATACAATGATCCAGGGTTGAATCGTACCGAAAAACGAAAGATTAAAAAAAAATTATATTATGGAATATTTACTAAATTATAATGAGAGTGTTCAAATTACTATTAGATATTTGTCTAAATGAAGAAAAAAAAATTTTCTGAGTTTAACGGTACGTCCCTGTAGTGATTGGTGCGAGTAGATTTAATTTTTGCTGATGACATTAATAAATGTACGTTTTCAACTTTTTAAAGACCCGGAAAATACGGAAGCGGCGGATCTACAGAGAAAACTGGAGATGCTGAACAACACGGTGGATCAAGAGGCAAGAGCGGAGCAAGCACGTCGACAGATATTATACAATGCAGGCCATTGTAAGTATGTCAACTTACACCTAAATAGCTTTCATTCCTTTTGTCATTCCTCTTCACTTGAACTGAACAAATGCTCCCTTCTTGGCTTTTCCTCTCTTTATACCACTTTCAGTATTGTCTTTATTCATTCTTCAATTATTATTTCAAAGTTCATGCAAATCATCATTTCAGCCACTAGACGCAAACGTGGAAATAGTGATACTCATAAATAGTATAAAAATTTAATGACTAAATAAATACTGATGCACCTTTTTTCTAGTCAGAAAATGAAAATCTGGTTGATCAGATACCTGGATAGCAATCCTTTGTTATGTGTGGCTGACGTTCTTGTTTTTTCTAAGCAGCTTTACATAAATATACTTATATATATTTAATTTTAGTTCTTGCGAGAGTCTTTTACTCCTCCTCAAGGGCTGTTCGCTCCACAAACTCAAATACCAGCAATATAGATGGAATTTACCTTATTGAACTTAGACATAAGGCTAGCTTAAGACTCAAGACTTGTTTAAAGCTGAAAATTCGTCTACGACATAAGATTGGCATAAGACTTTTAAGACTCGATTAAGGCTCATTGCTTACCTTAGGCTCAAGATTTGTTTGAAGCTAGAAACACATCTAAAACAAAACTTGATTAAGGCTCAAGGTTCGAGACTTGTTTAAAGCTAAATAGTCGTCTAAAAATTAAAACTGAACTTAGACATAAGACTCGCTTAAGGCTAAATACTTGTTTGAAGCTAAAAATGCGATTATGACACAAGATTGGCCTAAGACATTTAATACTTATTTTAGGCTCAAGGCACACTGATGAATCAAGACTTGATTTAAGCTAAAAAGTCGTTAATGCTTTGAAGCTTACTTAAATATTAAAAAATGTTTCAGAACAATGTAAAGTGATAAGCAAAGTTAAATCTTCAGACAAGCCTTGAGCGAGTTATACACCTTAGACAAATCTAAAATCTTGGATGAGCTTTTAGGCTCAAACAGCTCTTTAGCCTTAAGCAAGTCTTAAACCTTAGACGAATGTTTAATTTTAGACGTGTTTTTAGCTTTAAAAATGTTCAGTCTTAAGTGAGCCTTAAGCGAGTCTCATCTTTTAGTTCAGACTTAAGTCTTAGATGAGTTTTTAACTTCAAACAAGTCTTGAGCTTCAAACAAGACTTGAATCTTAAGTGAGCCTTAAGCTAGCCTCATGTTTAAGTAAAGTCATAAGTTTTACACGAGTTTTGAGCTTGAAACAAGTCTTGAGCCTTAAGTGACCCTTATGTCTAAGTTCAGTTCTAAGTTTTAGACAAAGTTTTAGCTTCTAACAAGTCTTGAGCCTGAATCGAGCCCTATGTCTTAAGTTTTAGACGAGTTTTTAGCTTCAAACAACACTTGATCCTTAAGTGAGCTTTGAGCCTAAAGCAAGCCTTATTTCTAAGTTCAGTACTAAGTTTTAGACAAGTTTTGAGCTTCAAAAAAGTTTTGAGCTTTAAGTGAGACTTGAGCCTTGAGCGAGCCTTATGTCTAAGTTCAGTCCTAAGTTTTAGACAATTTTTTAGCGTCAAACAAGACTTGAGCCTTAAGTGTGCTTTGAGCGAGCCTTATGTCTAAGTTCAGTCTTAAGTTTTAGACGAGTTTTTAGCTTCAAACAAGTTTTGAACCTCAAGTCAGCCTTGAGGCTCCCTGAAGGCTACTTCAGGGAGCTTTACGTTAGTTTTGAGGTAGCAAACATTTTTTTACGCGGGCCGGATGATCATTACCCTTTTCTTGGACAACACATAAGACTAATTTTACGTTTCCTAATTTCTCTATCTTGTCTGCTTCTTCTAGGTTGCTTCCGAGCGTAAAGCTTCGATCTAACCCATGCTTCCAACCGTTTGGTAACCTCAGGGTCAGACTAAAGTTTGGTTTGATCTCCTTGCGAAGTTTACCCAGAACTGTATAAAAACTGTATATTAACTTTACGGGACCAGGACAGCTATTTGTGTATAAAATTCCACGACAAAGTCTAACTGTAGGCGAACACTAGGAAGGCCACGACAAATTTCTACACGGTCATGCTTCTTCTTCGCCTCACTCAGCAGGACTTGGATGATTTTGAGGCTATCCTTAACGTTCCTCTTAATATTCTTTTGCATGTCGCAAGACTTTATCATCCTTGTGACCTCCAACTCTATTTTGTTGAGGCAAGTCGCCTCATCCTGTCTAAGCAGCAATCATGGCACGCGAGTCTCATTTATCATCTCATCGTCTACCTCCGAGTGGATAGCGCTATATGTGGTCTTCCGCTACCGCCACTCATCACACTTATGTTAGAAGGCTCGTCGCGCTTCCTATCCTTATTTTTTCTCTTTCCACGATGTTCTGTGGAAACTCTCCACCATAAAAAAAACAAAAGCTCTTTTCCGAATTTCGACACAAGCTGTCACTGAAAAACACGTGTTTAGTAAAAAAATTGAAACGCGGTCAAAGTCAAATCAAATCAATTTACGTAATCGACCCCTAGTTCCTAAAGGGTTTTTAGTCTGCATTTAATCCAATTCGACAGAATAGAGAGAAGGCTCTATAAAAATAAACTAAATTTAGAAGATCATGATCTTTAGGCAAATGAAATAAATGTACAGCATCTTGAACTATGAAACTCTAATTCACAGCGTAATTACAAAGTGCTAATACTATTTTAGAAAATTAGCAATTATTTGAAAATTATTCAGGATTGATGTGAAAATTAAAAGAGTATAATTTTGCTTTAGTTAATTAGATGACAGTAGCAGTGCCGCTGTCATTAATAATCTTCATCTTTAAGGATAAAGCTAATTTTGATGAAAATAAAAGTTTTAAAATTTATTGAGTAACATCATCTTATGTCAACGTCTAAAACTTTGATAAAGTTTTCCGAGTGTGGAAAATTTATGTCTTAGCAGAAAAGACTCCAACTTCATACGTGCGATTACATTATACTAATATAATTGTATTATACATTATAGGCCTGTTTTAATTTAGAAGTTTAGTTTCTTGTTAAATTATTCATAATTTATTTAATTTAATGGAGTTCTATTAATCTAATTGAACTTTAATAATTAAGTTTTTTTTAAAAATTATTTTCTTTTACAATCTCTCATTAAATATACTGTTTTCAGCTGGTTATTCAGAGGATTCAGACTACACATCAGATTTAAATTATCCTGTGGGTGGCCAAGGTGCGAATAGTTCTGCATCACAATTTCGGACTGTTGCAAATCAACTGGCAACGCCACAACGATCGCTCGAAACTTCCCGGGAGAATAGCTACGAAAGAGATGATCATCAGGTAAATTATAAGAGAAGTTTCTCTTGTTAACATAGTTTTCTAATTTTTCCTTTAATAAGTATGCAGGTTTAGAAATAAAAGAAAGAAAAGGCGCATTTAGCGTGCCTAAATTTGTCTAGTAAAAATAAATTCATTGTATTGTGTTGATAGGTAAAAATTTTTACATGCAACTAAGACTAAATTATAATTGCAGATCCCCGGAATCGTTGGTGGTCGACTAGCTCCTTCTGGTTACGGTGTTTACAGTAGAGGTCACAGTCCGAGGTATGATGAACCTTATCCTGAGGAAGGTCCTCCACAAAGATATTCTTCTCAGCAAAACGCAGATTTGTCTTCCGAGCCACTATTTTACAATAGCAGACCAAGACATTACAAGGAGTATAGGTATTTCATTTTTATTCTGATCTTAAATTCTATGCAATTTATTAATACAAGCATATTCTAAAAATAAGATCTTGTATACTAATTATATTATTCTTTAAAAAAAATGATGGTTTGAATGATAAAAAGCAGAATATTCATACTACTAATTAATACAGTTAAAATTTTCTAAAATTAAAATTTTTCGTATACTAAAATGGAACAAAGAGAAAAGCGTATCATTTTTTTATGATTCAGACGAAGGAAGCACACATGGGATTATGAAGACAGGTACGACGTAAAATCACGGGAGTCTCGTGAGAAATTCTGTTTTCTTTTGCAGTATAATGTCATTTCACAATTCTTATCTTATCACAGTTTACAATTCGTTATGGGTTTCATTAAAAATTACAGTACTACTAACATTACCATTACCATTTTCCATAAACTTTATTGGCCAATAAGCAATAAGGTATACATTTATGCAAATGAAATTGAAACAGTAAATTCAAAAACTTTTTTTGTTCAACATTTTGGAATGGTAGATACATTCAATTCGTGCATTTTTTCAAAATAATGAAAATTCTCATTGGCATTAATAATTAGAGAAAAATTCATCATTCAAATGAACATTTTATCATACATTTTTAGATTTTTAATTTGTTTTCGAATTTTTCATTTGTTTCATAATTTATAATACTTTACAGTCAAGAAGGTTGGTACAGTGAAGGACATGACTACTACAGTACGAGAAATGACGAATCGAGAATTTATAGTGACACTGAATACTATCCTAGCACAACTACTAGTTCGTCCTCAAGGAAAAGAGGTAATGTTAACGTTAATAGAAATAAGTATTTTTTAATATTCTACTCTTTAAATTACTGCTAAGGTATTAAAACAATTTTAAAATTACAGGTCCTTATAGAAGGCCATCTTTGGAAAGACAAACCACTTTATATGATGAACATTCCTATTATGATAGCTACATTAGTAATGGGAAAATCGGAAAAATGAGTGCCACTTATCCTGAATGTCAAACGGACATCGGATATAACAAATATTACAACAATGTTACAGGATATGTTTTTGAAAGTGAAAGGTAAAATCAAAACTAAAAAATATTGTAATAATCGTTTATGAATATCGAAAATCCATCAATATGTGGCTGACCACAGGATTAAGAATTTCTTTAGTTTGTCCCAAGAAAACCATGAGAACAACAATTGATTAACAATAAATAAAATATATAACATTAAAAATAGAAAATTATACATATTACTAAAATAATTTTAATCTAAAAATAAGTTACAGAAATAAGGATTAAAAACCCAATTAAACAATCATATTACAGATCAAAGTTATAAAGCTTTCAACTTCAATTCAATGATTCCAATTTATATTCCAAGAGAAACCAATAATCATAAAATAACTTTTCCTAAGATTTATTTTAAGCTGATTAGACTGTGCCCTTTCATATGGAACTTTATCATTCTCATTAATTCGTTTGATATTCTCATCCAACTCATCAAGACCAGAGTGCACATAGATCTGCAAATCATTAACATAATACAAGTGCTTAGAAAGCTTAAGAACACTCCTAAAATCATTTGTAAAAAGAAAAGGACTAGCTTGTTCCAATAAGACCCCATTTAGACTTATGACCATTAGACCCAGCAACACATTACACTCTACCCGACAAATAACATGAAAACCATTTCAAAACAGATTCAGACAATCTAAAAGATTTTAATTTCATTAACAAAAGATTACAGAAATAGAGCTTCAAACTCATCAACGACCCCAATTTTTGAAAGTTTTTAATCAAATCATTTACTATTAGTTCCCAATTCTCACTCTTATGATTAACAAGAAAGTTTCCAATAACCCCCTTAAAATTAAGCCATGCATCTTTCTCCGTTTTACTCATTACAATGATAAATTTCTCATAATTTAACAGTTTGGGAATTTGTAGCCCATAAAAAATTCTTCCTTTTAGTTTCGCTTCAACAATCTCTGGGGATTTTTGTTCAATGCACTTGAAAAATTTCCCTTTTTTTATCTAAGGACTTTACAAACAGTTTAATTACCCTTAGTTTAATTATCTAGAGGTGGTGGAATTACGTTTGTGGTTTCAACTAGGGGGTTTTATGATATTTTTTGAACCTGGTGTAAAAGAAGTTCTTTTGAGCCATTATTTTCGTACGTAATGATTCTTTGGATCTCTATTGACCTACAAAAATAAGAAACAGGGTGCTTTCGTAAAACCTGCTTATTGTCCCAGCATTATATTTATAGTTTTAAAATCTCCACTTTGACAATTGTGTTCTTTATATTTAATTTTCTCTAAAACTAGTTTTACAGTTTCATAATCTCCTTTAAGTTCGGTTAAATGGTCAATGGTAATTGAAGCAAAAACATTAATGTAATTAAGTAACACTGCCTTTAGACTTCTTTAGTCAGTGAATAACCTCCAATGTTGATCTTCATATACTTTTGGTTTGAATTCATGTATTAGTCCTTCATTGTGGGAACATCATACCAATGATAGCTCATCGTCTTTTGTAAAATACGTTCGGAATTCCTTTTCTCTGTCATGATAAAAGTGATCTGTGCCTTTTGATAACAAATTTGGTTTATAAACTAAAGCTAGATATTCTGACTCAAAATTTAGGTTTTTGACACAGATACAACACAGGCGTATACTATATTTTTTATTCTAGCCCTTTACATTGATCATGCAAAAGTAATAATCTACTCGATATAAAGGTTTTTCCCACAATGTTGGTTTCTCAAACTTTAGTTGTTTATCCTCATTCCTATCATTTCTACGAATTAACATTGTGTAACAGAAACTGTAGATTGTGTGTGGAACCTATTTTCTATTCTGATTGGCTATTTCAAAATCAATGTAATCTTTGTAAATTTGTTTAATATTTTGAGTTTTGAAAGCCACGATATTTAAAGAAAAATCCGCAAGTTAGGGATCCTAATCCGATCTTGCTTCATTACTTCAATAGACAGGAACTGAATCATTCTACACATCCCCTTACGGATCAGTTGTTATCACATACTACATTTATCGAAGCAGCAGGATTAACATTGAGCCAAAGCACAATGAACATTTTTTATAACATTCTTAACAAAAATTATGTATCCTAATTTTTGAACTACTTCTTCCAGTATGTGCTAATAACCTTATTTGTTGAATACAAATTTACTGAATAATCGTTTACAGGTTTGGTCAAGATGACGAGGACAGACAATGGGATAGTGGAGGGCAGTGGCTCCCTGGATCAAGTACTTATTATGAAAATAAAAGAAATAGAAAAACACTTCCCCAGCGACCTGCATCCAGTATTGGTATTCACAGGCCTGATTACAGACCCACTGTTACCAGACAACGTAGCTACGAGTCCGAAGAACTCGAGTATAGGTAGTGTAAATTAAAATTCTCATTTAAACATAATCAGTCTTTTTTGAAATTAATTAAATGTTTACTTTTACAGCCCAAGTGCCCGCCAAAGGAAAATGTTACAACGTTCATTTTCACGTCAGGATGGAACTGGAAAGAAATTACCCCCTACCCCTTCGAAACCGAGTAGCGTAATTTTCGGTCGCAAACCTGCCTCTCTTCCCGCGACTCCCGGAAGACAACTGCCACGAACAAGGACTCCTTCTGAAGAAAGTTATTACAAGTCCGAATACAATGAGGATTACAATCACGCTTATCGGAGTGATGATAACTTACAGCAGGAATCCTTTACCGATACTATTTATCCCGATCAAATGTACAATCAATCGCATATCAGCGGAACATTACGAGATAATCAGTACGTACCTGATCATTTCGTGCCACAAGTTTCGGAACAGTATGGTCAGAGTTATCAGGATTCTTCCACGAAGGATCTTTATGACCAGGAACAACAATCATACGCACAGAACTCGTACAAGGATACCTATCAAGCGCCCTATCTTGACACGAATACACAAATTTATCAAGAGCCTTATCAAGACACAACATATCCAACAATTAGTACAGCAAACGATCAATACGAAAAGCCACAAGATATTGCTATGTCCAATAACTATCAGCCAATGGATTATGATCAGAACAACATTCAACAATTGACTACAACACAAAAGAGTCTATTGACGCAGGATCTTTTAACACAACAGCAAGTACCAACAAGTCAACAGTATCAACAAGATTACGCACTTGATAATTTCGAAGAAGGTTATTCTGATTATCCAACGTCTATTGCCACAAGCCTTTACGATCACACAAACACCTCCAATGCCTACGATCCTTATGAAAAAAATATTTGCGACAACAAATATCAGGTTCCAATTTCTGATGCCTATCAAGACACCTACGATGAACCGGCCGTCTCCATTTCGCAAGAGGGTTATAGCGAAACATATGAGGTTCAGAATACCTATCAGGATACCTACCAAGATACCTATCAAGAGAAACAAGATTACGAAAAGTACATTCCCTACAGCAAAAGCGAGGACACCACGGATTTCAAAAATGACTATCAAAATCAGTATCAGGAGTACACGGAACAGTACGATGAGACCTATCAAGACTCGTATCAGGGATCATTCGAAGAGTACAATAAAGAGAATTTGACCGTAAGTAATGACAGGAGAAAAAGTGAAGTGCCTGAATTATCTGTCACTACGCCTAGAGGTCAAACTAGAACTAATGGTTATCCTTCCAGCGAATCGGAATACTATTATTCCTGTCAAGAAAAACAGGAAATATCTTCAACTGGTGCTGCAAGAAGAAAAAAACTCGTGAAACGTGGTACTAGTCCGCTATTTCAACAAAACACCGATTCCCTCGAATCACGAGACGATGAACTTAAAGATTCATTCGAAACTGCCGTAAGTTCAGTGAGTAGTAGTCAACCAAGGAAAGCCTATTCTGAATACTCAACTGCAGGTGAATCGAGTCCAGCTCCAGCAACATTAGTTGAGTCACCACCAAATTCTGTTCAAATTTCAAATGGCATGATAAATCATGTTACGAATCATACCAATACTATTACTACCTCAGCATCTGTTTATCCCTCCATTAGTACGAATGGTAAACGTCTCTCTAGGACAGATTCTTATCAACAAGATATGATAGAGGATGAGTATCCGGAAATTATTTCCAATGATCTTCAAAGAAAGGATTCGCAAATGTCACATCAGAGTCAAATGAGTCAACATTCATCGCAACAATCACAAAAACCAAAACTCACGAGAGGTGAATCGTACGCATCTGATCAGTATTCCGAGGATGGATATACGGACAGACGGGATTCTTATGCACAACCAACTCGAAAGGATTCCTATGCTTCTATTACTCAGGAGGGATTTAAACCTCCGCTTCAGAGGACTGAGTCTTATCAGAGTCGGGAGCTCGGAAGGGGCAGTGTTTATGGCCAAAATTTCACAACTCCACAACCAATTTCAAGGGCTGAAAGTTATAAAAGGGGGTATTTCAAAGACCAAGATTCAATAGATAAGACTGAAATTTCGTTAAGTAATGCAATGAATGGGGACTACAAGATGAGAGACGAGACACTCGAAAGGTAAGATGTTAGTTTTATTAATATATATGGAAAAACTAAAATAATTTTTTTAAACCGAATCTGAATTTGGAGAATGGCGAATCTAATCTAAAGGAAGTTTGATACAGGGTTTTCTATTATAAGAATAGGTACTTAAATTGAAACCCAGTGTAGCGATCCCCATCAACTCCAACTAAGTCAACCTATTCAAAAACCTGTTCTTCTCCAAAAGAACAAATTCTATTCATCTATGAACTGCTAAATTAACCTAGGTCGACAAACACTGTGACGTATAACACTACAACTATATTGTACTTAAAATCAATTAAACTTTCTGCTTAACGTCAGGCTACATTTGATGCTTTCAACAATTACATAAATAGAAATTTCAGTTAATAAATTTCGCCGTCAGGCGCCAATTAATTTTCAAGATAAATTAATAAACTAATTCAATTACAACAATTCCACAGTAACATTATCGACTCTCTTAATCGTCAGAGGAAATTATGCCTGAACAACTTGGCAAGCAGAAATGACAACGACGAGCCACGACTGTTCTTCTACAGGAACAAAAGTGAATCCAAAAACATCAGATCTTTTTGGCGTCTTTTTTCCCTCTCGTTACGCTGGCTCTTCTCTTTCAGTCTCTTTCTACTTCTGAAACCCTGGCCTCTGTCACTTTCTTGACTACTAATTTGGAATTTGATAAATCTATATCATGTGGTACAAAGACAACTTAATGTCGTTTCGACCCGGTCCCAGTACTGGACTCATTAGTAAGGCTACGTAGTGGGAGTCCTGACCTGGACTAGGCCTATCAATACCGTCATGGATCTTATTTTCACCAAAACGTCAACTCTTTCATTTTCCTCAATCCTTGAGTAATCCACTACCCAGATCAATGAAAGTTTATTTAATGAATCCAACTCACTGGTTCACCGTAGTAACCCCAACTGGGTCTTAATTATGTTGTAGAATTTTTCTGAGCTCCTAATGCCGCTTGACTATTCAGACAAATACTAATCCATTTACCCGTTTGTTTTATATTTAACAGATATTTGGGAGTAAGTGATAATTGCACAGATCTCAGCCTGTTAAACCGTGGCATAGAGTTCGGCCACGAACGAGTGTTTCAAAAAACACCAAAGCTTACGGCGCAGGCTATCTGAAGTTGACAGTACACCATACTTCGCCTCCAGGTGGAAAAACTTTTCTTACAGTCTGTTTCGGAAAATATAAAGATCTTATAACGGAGTTTAAATCCCAACTCTTTCGGGATGGATTCCGCTGGTATGAAACCCAATGCAGCAGTTGAGGTGATCCTCATAAAACCTTAAATACCTCTATAAACTATTGCTCGGAATTGTTTTCTCTTTTACTATAATAAGATGAAGCCTATGCCACCAAACAACGACCTCATGCAGAAATCTGGGTTGTAAAATCAGTGGAGCCAGTGGACCAGATTATGTCTCTATTGTCCTTTTAAATGTCCAAAAATCAGAATATTTCATACTAGTATTCGAAATATTCTTTCCAACTCAGCTTTTTATCAAGAATTTCAAAACAAAATTCAATCTAAATTGAATCTAAATGAATCTAAATTTAATCACAATAAATCCATCAGATTCCAAAAATATAAAAATGAAGAAAGACGTAAGAGCACTTGATCACCTTGAAATCAATAATAAGATAGAAAAGGTTAAAGGCAATCAATCCAAAAAATAATTGACAGAAAAGGAAATTTCTCTACCATAGATTAGCAGCTTCTTTAGTACTGTTTATTGTCATTAATGGCAAACTATCGCGAATGTTCTTTCTGTAAACTGTAAGATAGTCTCATTAGAGAACCCCTTTATAAAGGATGTCTTATATCAGGTAATCATCAGCATAACTTTCCGTATAACAACCCTGGCTATTGACCTTTCTAAGCAACTGATCCGCTATCAAGTACCAGAAAAAGGGAAAAGAACTCCTTTTTGTAGACAATATTTTAAGACAGGTCCTTTTACCTCATCATATTAAATAAATAAAATTAACGGCCGGTATACTTTTACGTAAAGGACCTTCCTATACTTCAAGTATAGTAATACTTGAAATTTAGATTTTGTCGTTGTTCATACCTGGCTCATTGCCGCACTGAGTATTTTCCTTAGATGCTACTAACACCTTCAGGCAGATTGGGGTTAAGTAATATAAATATTAATAAGCTTAAAGCTCGATTGAAATTAAATTTTTGTTATCTAATAGTGTCATCAACATTTTATAATTTGCATTTTGTAAATTAGGTATGAAAGAGGAGAAGAAGCCCTGCTCAGAGCCTCCAGAGAAAATTCTTTGGTAGAGCCCTACAAAGGGTCACCGACATCTGGTAGTCCAAGAGGTAATTTTTCTAATTTAATTTGATTTTCAATATTACACAATTATATTAAAATACCATACCTATACCTATGTGTTGAAAGTAAAATTTACAATTAGTTTAGTAAAAAAAAATATGGTACCTATAAGATGTATATTTAACATTTTAGGAAGTGTTACAAAGCAAGCCTCATTAGATGAGAGTGTTCAGATGGATACGCCACCCAGGAGTCCTCCGGAACCTCTACCTGATGAAAAACTTTTAGAAATGGTGGGACCAGCTCCGATTCCTCCCCAACTCAAAGAAAGACCTGAGATGACTGCAAAACAAAGATGGATCTGGGCCTACACTAAAATCATCCAGCAGCTAAACGTGAGTAGTTTGTAAAACACTATTAAAATTTAATTAGTAAACAAGTCTTTAACTAACTAAGGGCCGATTTCACCAACACCGATTAAAAGTTAATCAATGATTAAATCCTCAATTAATCAATCAGAAGCCTTTAAACTGTCTTTAACCATTGATTAACTTTTAATCGGAAGTTCTCAAGAACTGTGGAATTCTGTGAAATGTTACAGAGAACAATGTACAATTTATGGTGATCCTAATTGAAATAAGAAAGTTGATCATTGATAATAAAGTAGGGCAATTAGCATAACCATTTAAAATCTTATACAAAAAAGAATATCTGCGCATAAAGGAATCTACAGATACCTAAGTCAAAAGATAAAATTGTAAAATGACAAGTTAAATAAAAACACAAATACATTAACAGTAACAAAAAACCACAAAAAATAATTTAAATAAATAAAATAAATAATTTAAAAGTTTTTTTAATTACTCTTTTTGGCGGCCGTTTCTTATTTACTTTTAAATCTTGCAAGAGTCTTTTTCGTTTCTTCAAGGGCCGTCCTGAAGACTTCGCATCCTCCGCTACAATATGGGTGGTTGACACCTTATTGAAAAACGTTTCCTTGCACAAAAAGCAGTTTGGGTTCTATATTTACAGTTGGAGAACCTGTGACTGGCTTCACCACACTTAAATCACGCAGTCGATCTGTCCTTCTGGCATTTCGCTCCAATATGGACGTATCCCAAGCATCGATGCGCCAGGACGACCATTACCCTTTTTTAATTGGGCAACACATAAAACCAATTTTTACGTGTCCCAATTTCTCTAGCATGTTCGCCTCTTCCGGGTTGGTGATTACAACTGAGAGCTTTTTCTTTCGCCGGTTGGGTCCGCAGACAGTCAATCTCCTGCTCCCTGGCTTTCCCATCGCTTCAGACAACAGTTGTTGCACCTCTGCTTCTTGGGTAAGACAATCCAAATCATGGATCTTGAGTGCAACTCTTCGATCAATCGACTGAACCTTACTCATGCTTGCAACCACCTTGGTGATCTCAGCGGTGAAAGCGTCCTTGTTGGATTCTCCTCTGATTTTAATCAGAAGATCTCCTTTCTTTGTAGCTTTTGCTACTACTATTCTCGTATGGCAGATGTCCGGGTTGACCTCTTTACGAAGTTTACCCAGAACATCAGCATATGTTAATCCTTGTCCGACTCGGATTAGCACAGCGGATCCTTTTGTCCTTTTATTTCCAATCGAAAAATCTCTGGCTCCGGTACATCCGTTTCTATTGCAGGTGCTTCCTCCTTCTTCCTCTTACCGGCTTGGACTTACCGGCATCTCTTATGACGCTTTTGAGATTACGCCTATAGTAGAGCTCCCTCTCCTCCTTACGGTCCTTGCGGTCACACTCCTCACCGCTGAGAACGCATGCCAAATCGACGCCCGACTCATCTGCCGCGGCATGCTTTACTTTTGCCTCTTTCAGCAGGACTTCGATGACTTTGAGTCCATCTTTTACCGTCCTATTGATGTTCTTCTGAATGTCGCAAGACTTCATCATCTTTGCGACCTCCAACTTGATTTTGTCGAGACAAACCGTCTTTTCCTTTCTGAACAGCAAGCATATCTCGCGAATCTCTTCTAACGCTTCGTCGTCTACTTCTGAATATATAGCGCTATGTACGGTCTTTACGCTACTGCAACTTAACACACTCAGAAGGCTCGACGCTCTTCCTTTTCTCATTCTTTCTCCTTTCACGATGTTCTGTGGATCTAACCTTTCCACCATCACCCGTGGCACTGCAAGAAATTGTGCGCCCCCACAATCCGCGCGCACTTAAGCATTCGTCCTGGGATCGATGGTGAGATTTCCCGTCTCTGGCTAAGAAAGGATTGAAGTACTGATTACAAACTTTAACTAAATGATATCTATTAAAGAAATATATCTTTTCATGGCATGTATTTTTAAGAATAATGAGAAAACAGAAATTCTAGATCCTTTAATGTTTAGAGAGAAGATAACTCTATGGGTAAATGGAGTTTTCTTTTATTACTTTTGGACACTAGTTTTTGTTTCTCTTTGGCATAGCAGGAGGTTAGTTGACGTCCTCCTCACAGAGACAATGACTTTTTGTTTGATGGTGATCTTTTCCTTTTGCAGACACTGTTTGAGTAAAACGTATCTTTACTCCTAGATTATATGGATGATTTCTCTTTACTATTGAATTTACAGACGATTTTTAATTTATCACGGTTTTTTAGAAGAACTGACTTATAGATGACTTCTAGTTGCAACTGTTTGTCTAAAACTGAACTTATCTTGCAGCTTTTTTTGAAAACAATTGTTGTGTGACCACCTCTTTGATTCATCATTCTGAACTCATTAGATTGCCTAGAGATATTGTTCTATTAAATATTATTTGTTATTACAATTCGTTTGTCGGATTCTATTATAAATTAGTTGGACAATTTTAATCGACTATAATTGCAAATAATAATTAGTTTTATTGATATTGTTCAAAACCGAAAAATATTAATGCACCACAAGATTTTATTTAACTTTTTCTTAATGTTAGTTCACTTTTCACTAATATTCTTTGCGATTCAGTTATAAAAAGCTATAAAAGACGCAATAATTCACTAGAAATAGTGAATTAAAAAATAGAAGATAACAAAATAAATTTCTTAGATAAGATATTAATAAGGAAAAATAAAAAAATCCTGAGTCTTATTACTTATTCTCTAGGAAGAATAATTCTTAATTAAAATTCTATCAATGAAAATGTTGATGTCAATAACCAAGTTCGACCTCCCTAAAAATGCGATATTTAATTAAATACCCGCATTTCTCTCAGCAATGTCAAAACTTACACTGTTGATCTTTACCTTCAAATGCCTTACAATTACGATTAAAAATATTACCTTTTATTTGAAATATTTAGAATAATTATTACTCGTGGATTGTTGACAATTTTTTCATAATTAATTCATTATACTAATTAACAGAAATAATACAGTAATTATTAGTTCTCAATTACAAAATTAATAATATATTTAAAAAAATTTTCAATAGATAAATTAAAAAATATTATTGAAATACAATATCAATGTAAAAATCTAATATTGTGTTAGTTGTTAAATAATTTAAGCAGAGTGAATTACATACATAATTTCAAAATACCTTCTGTTCATTTTAATTAAAATTATTGAAGCTGACAATTTCATGTCAAATTATTTTACATATTAAATTAATAGAGAATATTTAACTACAGTCGAGAAAATATCTACAATTGATAATTTATGCATATTCAGTCGGTCGACACTTATAATCTGCGAATTAGATTTATTTTAAAATAATTTTATTATTTGACAGTATTTTTAAAATTATAGAAATGAAATAAAAAATTATGAAAATTCTCCAACTCCAACTTTCAGTTTTATAAAAATAAAATTCTTGATATTCCAGTTTGTGATTATATTTAAAAATGAAATAAAATTCAATTTTTCTTTGATAAAATATATAGATGAAAATTAATCTTATTTAGTGAAAGACATATTTTTGAAAACATTCAAACTGAACGAATAATAGGAAAAGAAAAATCTCTCCTTGGGCGAAGAAATGTTGATTAGAATTGCAACCCAGAATGTCAGCTTACACGAAACGTCCATTAGCGTAGGCGTGTTGTCGCAGTAGATCCAAAGTACGCACCTGGTACTTTCTTCCGTCAAGTTTACATCTATTTCTCAAATAAAAGTGACGAAAAGTACCAATTTTTATCAATCATAAATTTTATCCTCTAATTCTGACACTTTTATTGAATAGAAAAGGAAATATTGAGCTAAGAAATATTAATGAATTCGTCAAAATCTAAAATCTCATTAAAACTATAAATAATTGTGCAATGACAAATGATATTTTTCTAACTCTCCATTAAAATGGAAAATTAGAAAAGTCTAACTATAGTCAGGACCAGAAAATCTGAAAATTTAAGTAAAAAATTTATTTAATGAAATAGGTCTTAATTTAAAAAATAAAAAATATTCTTTTTAATTATGCTTTCAAAATGTTTAAAAAATCCACAGTTTCTTCTTCTTCTTTAAAAAAGATTTCCTTTACTTATTTCGTTACCAACATTTCTTTCATTAATCAAAAATATAAATCGAATGCAAGCACTTTTTGTATAACATGTCCGCCATATTGGAGCCGCCATTTTGAATTTTCGAAATCTGATTGTAAAGCCGTTATTATCTACCCCAAAATCCCCCATGTAAGGAATTTTAACAGAATTCATTTGCTAGGTTTTTCGAGAGCACGAAATGGTTAATGTTAATAATTAATCAATAAAGTTAACAATTAATAAATAAAATAATAATAATGAAATAACAATAATCATAAAAATAACAAAATAAAAAATAAAATGATAATAACAACTACAAAAAAGAAAAAAATTAAAAAGTTAAATTCCTAAAAGAATATTAAAACATTTTTTAGTAATAAAATTTTTATGTCCTGTAAGTTAAAATGAGATTTTAAAAATTTAATAAATGAATACTTTATGTTTACTTTGTAAAATTACCTTTTACTGCATCTTCAGTAATGAATTTAGAATAATCAAATCCACCTGAAGGTTTACAAGTAACGCAGTAAAAAAAACATATCACTAAAAAGAATAAAACTGCTATTAGACGCATTTTAATTTTGGGAATATTTAAAATTGTTCTGTTATTGACAATTGTCTCAGCACTCTTTATATAGGAAGTGTACATATGACGTAATCGAATTTGACTTTTTAATTATAAATCTCATTATACAGAAAATTATAATAATATAAAATAAGAATAATTCATTTAATAGTGTTCAAAGAGATTTCTAGAATGTACACAAAAACACATTTTTATTAATATCACAGATATTTGTTAACTTTCCTTTCATATTTAATAAATTTAATTCTTATTTAATTTTTTATCTAATTATCTATAATTTTTGGATATATTATTCAAACAAAAAAAAACAAAATAAAATGATAAAATAAAATAACATAAAAAAATGTAATTATTTAGAATGCAACAAATTCCGAATTGTTACACTAAAAAAAAATTGTATTTAATTTAATTAATTGATAAATTAATGCAAAAAAACTTGGTTTCAGTTTTTTTTATTTAAATCTAAAAAATATGATTTAAATAACTTGGATCAACTTGGATTCTTTGAATCACACTTATTTAAACTAAAAAGAAACACAATTGAGTGAAGTAAATAATTAATTTAATTTAATGCATGAATACACTTATCAGAAAAGTTAATTAAAAGTATTTATTCGTTTCATTCAAATGCTATTTTCAGAATTCTGAAATTACTTGAATTTTATAAACATTTTATTAAAGAATTATCAAATTAGTCGAATTTTGTGAAATTGAATTCCAAATAATTGTTAAATAATTTTATTAGAAATTTAAAAAAGTAATCAAATTTTCGAAGAATTTTTGTGTGGTAAATGGTAAATAATCGAATTTCACAAATAGACACAATCGATTATTCATTTATGTTTTTTGGTATACAATTAAAATTATTATCCTAGTTAATTTTAATAAGATTTAAACATACAATTTTGTTTAGAAAAATTAAACTTTCAAATAATTTTATTCGAAATTATTAAATTGTTAAAATATTTCAATTCTATTGTTTAAAAATAATTGAATCGCTATAAAAAAACGAGTAGAAATCGAAGTATGGGCAAAAGATAGAAAAGTATTATTTTTAATTTTTTTAATAAATAAGTTGAGTCAAACTCAGTTGTTATTAATGAATTAAAAGAATGAAAAATCTTAAATTACTCTTTAATATTTATTCGTTTTAATATTTTTTTAATACAATAACGATTGAAAATTCGAATTATTTTAAATTCCTAAGGTAACGTTGATTTCTTCTCATTTCTGTATAATCGTTTTAGGAGGTTCATATCTTCTACACTGATACATTTTAATCCCATTAATTGTTGTTCTATATTCTGCGCAATAATCTGAAAATAATTTTTTCTTTAATAAAACACATTTTTAATATACCTACAAGAATTTGTTTTTGTAGAAATCTAAACTTCATACACCCAAAGAAAAAAATTAATAGTCATAGAGAAACTGTAATTTTAATTTTTTTAACTTAAATAAATTATATTTTCTGCAAATGAAATATTTCTTTGGGTATATGATTATATTTATATATAAAATGGGTTAGAAATTTGTTTTAAATTTGTTAAAACTTACGCAATCCAAAGTCCTCTTCTTCAAACCAATCTGATGGATAATGTGTACATTCATACCAGAATTCATCACCAATCACAGGTCTCATGCATATTTCTGTAAAATTTAAATGGTTAAAAAATTTGTTTCATTAAATTTACAATATTTCAAACATTTGATATAGTAATTTAATAATAATAATTTTCTAAAATTCTATGTTCTATAAGTTAAAATGAGCATTGAATACTCTACTTCTACACTCTATGTTTACTTTGTAAAATTACCTTTTACTGCATCTTCAGTTATGAATTTAGAATAATCAAATCCACCTGATGGTTTACAGGTAACGCAGTAAAAAAAACAAATTACCAAAAATATTAAAACTGCTATGAGGCGCATTTTAATTTTGTGAATATTTAAAATTGTTCTGTGATTGACAATTGTCTCAGCACTCTTTATATAGAAAGTTTGAATCTGACGTAATCGTATTTGACTTTTTAATGTAAATTTCATTATAAATGAATTTAATGTAAAACTACAATGACAATTTATTTAATAGTGCAGATAATAATTATTCTAATAGCTATAAATAATGATAATTCATACAAGTGTTCATCTTCATAGAGATTTCTAGAATCTGTGTACACAAAAAACACATTTTTAGTAATATCACAGGTATTATTGTTTACTTTTCTTTTGATATTTAATAAAATTAATTGTTATTCAATTTTTTCTCCTATTATCTACAATTTTCTTTTATATTTTTTTAATATATTCTAAAAAAATTTGGTTGTTAAAATATTTCAATTCTATATTGTTTAGAGATAATTGATTCGCTATAAACAACCCACATATATTTTCAGACTATTCACATACTTTAAAATATGAAAAATTTTCCAAAAATTGATTCTAGTTTTTGACCATACTTTGCCTGACTTTTCCCATACTTTTGAAAAAGAAAAAAAATAATAAATAATGATTCTATGCCCTTTGACCATACTTTTCCAGACTATTCCCATACTTTAAAATATGAAAAATTTTTCAAAACTTGATTCCAGTATTTGACCATACTTTTCCAGACCGATTTCCATATTTCAAAATATGAAAAAAATAAATTTTTTTCCAAAAATTGACTCTGGCCTTTGCCCATATTTATTCTGACTCTTCCCATATTTTAAAAAATGAAAAATATGTAAAATTTTTCAACAATTTATTAATTCTAGTTTTGCCCATACTTTGTCTAACTCTTCCCATAGTTTTGAAAAAGAAAAAAAATTTTTTTTGAATGATTCAATAACTTTTGACCATACTTTTCCAGACTGTTTCCATACTTTAAAATATGAAAACAATATGAAAAATTTTCCAAAAATTGATTCTAGTTTTTAACCATACTTTTTCTCACTCTTCCCATACTTCAGAAAATGAAAAATTTTTTAATATAATAAAACTTTTCCAAAAATTGATTGTAGCATTTGCCCATACTTTTCCAGACCTATTTTCATATTTCAAAATAAAATATGAAAAAATGAAAAATTATTTCCAAAAATTGATTCTAGACTTTGCCCATACTTTGTCTGACTTTTAACTTTAAATTTTCTATTCTTTCTTGAATTTTTTTCATTTTCTGAAGTATGGTATACTTTGATTTCTACGCGGGAATTAAGTAGCAATTTGACTTAAATTGTTTCAAAAAAATTTTGTTTGGTTTTAATAATTTAGTAGACTCTAAGAAAAATATACCTACTTTTATTTATTTCAATTAAATAATACTTGCTATAAATAAAATTTTTTCTTTAGATATAAGTAGTTTTAGTCATTATTAAAGTCCAAGTCTAAGTCCAAGTCTTAGTCAGGATCAAAGTCTAAGTCATAATCCAAGTTCTTGTAAAAATCTTAGTCTAAGTCTCGGTCAAAGTCTTAGTCTTAGTCATGATCAAAGTCCAAGTCTAAATTAAAGTCATAATCGTGGTGAAAGTCCAAGTTTCGGTCAAATTCAAGTCTTAGTCAAAGTCTTAGTCAAAGTCTTAATCTTAGTCTAAGACTAAGTTTTTGACTTTGACCATAGTTAGTCTTAGACTTAGATTAAATTTTTGCAGATTATTTTAATCCATTTTGGTGTTATTTTTGCACCTCATGATTTACTGTGCGAATAAAAGAAAAAAATTTAATTAATCATTTAATTGGATCAATTAAATATTATTAAATCCAATTTATTTTTTTCAGTATAATTAAATTAGTTTTTTAAATTTTAATTCTAAAACTTTTGTCACGTAATAATGAAAGTTGAAAAAATATTTTTTTTTTTGAAATTTTTATTTTCTTCCGCTTTCTCGATAAATAATGAGAATTCAAGTTCCAAGTGTAATGACCTTAGGAACATTCTATATAGGTTAAACAATAAGTTATGCGACAATCAAAAGCCCGTATGTCTCGTGGCCTACGAACTGAAATTGCCTTCATCGCAAGGACTTTTCTCCCGCAGTCTTCATCATCACCGAAGTCAGTTTATTATTCAAGTCTTCTCATATTCTTCAGTCTTTAATTAACTCTCTATGTGTGCTATTCTTTTAAAAAATATTTTTCCACTTGTATTAAGATATTTTAAAATTCAAAAAATTTTATTTTAATATTCTTGTTCTATAATTGAGAGAAAAAATATTTGCAGCTATTGCAAACAAAAAAGGGATGAACTTATATGGTTTGGTGGTGAGAGATTTTCACATTCACGTGGCATGAACCTCCATGGGGGTTGTGTTAACTTAAGTGAAAAAACCTGCGAGAGGTCTATTTCGACGAACCACCATCTTGTATGGACCGCAGAAAGTAGACGACTCGGAAGCACATTGCAAGTCGAGTGGACGACCAAAGTGGATCAGTGAATTCATCAACTCAATCGAAATTACTTCCAAATTCATTATTCTCAACGAACAATCCATCCTTTTCTCTTTTGTGAAATTATATTTGTTATTATAATTTCATTAATCAATGTGCTTTTTTAGATGACTGAAAATTGAACTTTGTTAAAATACAAGAAATTATTGAAATTATGATTAAAATGAAATTCTTTAGAAATAATTTATTTCTGTGTGGTGAAATATATTGGAATTGATTGTAAACAATTGGATTTTTGTTTCGAATAAAATTAGAGGCGCAAAAACAAAGAATAGTGTATAAATAAATGGCCTTCGAGTACGAGGTTCACACTTGATAAGCACTGACCGGAAGAGGTAAGCCCGGATGTTGACTATCGGCAAGATAATTCAAGGTATAGTCGAAGTTTACTCCAGTCTCGAATTGACAAGCCAAGAGAAAACTTGACCTTTATTTTCACCGAAAGTAAAAAAAATGTAGACAAATTTTACAAACAAAATTTTTTAAAACTAAATTTGCACCCAATCATAATGGAAAATAAGGGAAAATCAACAGAGTGGGCTTTACTTTTTCCCCTAAAGGCCGGACTTTTTGCAATGAAAACATCAATTTCGCCACGAAACATTTCCCCACGTGAAAAGGAGAAATTCCCCAAAGAAAAGTATGGCCAACGAGTGAGAATTCGACGAGGTTCATCGTTATCGGATTTAGATAAGCTTATACAAAATAAATCGACACTACCCGATGTGGTGAGATCAACAACGGAAAAAGGATCTGAATCATTGCCTCATTCGCCAGCATTTTCAAGGACAAATTTACAACTTGGAAGTCCACAAGTTCGAGGGAGTATTGGTGATTTGATGAATCTTAAAAAATATGGTGGATCAACTTGGAGTGTTAGGAGTGAAACTTTAATTGCTCGAGTTGTGCCACTCAGTACAGTGACTCCAAAACAAAGTTCGCCCGTTGAAAGGGATGAGGAAGATTTTCTCGACGACTTTCTCGAATATCAAACAGCCGGTGAACCCTTGACTTGTGCACAGAGAACAGTGAGACTAAGCAAACTTATTAAAAAACAACGCAGACAATCCAGAGTACTTAGTCCTCATGCATTACTTAAGCAAATCAAGGAATCTGTTCAAGGAGTAAGTTTACTATTATTAGATTTCGAGGAAAATTTATTTATACTAAAGCAGGGAAAAAAGTCAGTCACGTTTTTTTAAAAATAAGATTATATACCTATTACAAAACTATCAGAAAAAATTAGTGAAATTTTAATTTTAACTTTATTGATAAGACAATTAAATTTAACTATTATATCGTTTTATTCAAATCAAAGTCTTTCGTTAGACAAAATTTATAAAACTGAAGTTACCAACGTTTATTCGACGAAAAAGATAAAAAAAAATTACCTCCAAAAACATGAAACTAAAGTTACCAACGTTTATTCGACGGATTTTTTTTTCTTTTGTTAATTTTTCTATTTTAATGTTAAAAGCCCTTTAAAAAAATAGCAAAAGGATCAAAGTTGGGGAAAGCAGTAATTTTGCTTTTTTGCACAGATTTTCTAAAACCCCCGACATTTCTACTAAATTTTCATTTCCTCGCCTCGGAAGCAATTTTTCTCTTTTGCTAATTATTGTTTTAAATTTCTTGGCTTTTTTAAAAGTGCTATATCAATTCAGATGATAATTAAATTTTACGGGCGATATTTATTGCGGGACAAATGCTAAAAATAATAATGTATTGAGTAAATGTGCTTTCAGAAGCACGGTAGTACTGAAAGTGACACGAAGTTCACTTCTGTTGACTACTCCCAAAAAGTTATTCACAATTAAATAACAATTAAATTATTATTAATTTATTAAATTAAAATAAAATTTAATTACTTAGATATTTTCTTTTGTACTCCTGACTTGTTAGTTTATATAGAAAAGATTGGTTTAATTGCAAGTATAAAATTGGAACCACCTTTTTGCATTTCGAAAAACGAACATCAGATTCGTAATCAGCAACCCCAAAAACCCCCTAGTAACAAATTTAAAGTGACTACGATGAATTTTTAAAAGTATTGTCCACCATATTGGATCCGCCATGTTGAATTTTTAAAAATTGACACCAGGTTCGTAATCAGCGACCCCAAAAACCCCCGAGTAACGAGTTTTAAGTGACTACGACGCAATTTGAAAAATTTGTCCGCCATATTGGAGCTGCCATTTTGAATTTCGAAAAACGGACATATGATTCGTAATCAGCAACCCCAAAAACATTCGGATAATAAGTGACAAGTAAATAAAAATTTTTTTTTTTGATTTCGTAAATAAAATTATGAATTTACTTGAAAAAATTCTTACCGCCGCCATTTTAAAATCGCCATTTTGAAATTTTTTAAAACACGGAAACATTTTTTTCTCTTGGTAGTTACTTATTTTAATATCAGAAGCCATTTAAAAAAATTTAAAGTGGATCCAAGGCGGGAAAGTTTAACTATAAAAAATAACGTTTTCTTCAGGAAATTTGAACAAATTTCAAGCAAATCCGTTAAATTTTAAATATTTTCGTCCGCTGTATTGGATCCACCATTTTTAATTTTCAGAATCTGACTTCAAATTCGACTGAAGTAATCTTCAACATTTTATTAATTATACTATCTATTCATAGCATTTTGCCGATGGAGACTTTATTAAAATATAGTTAAATCGAATGTTAATACTTTAGAAAATTCTCCACAGAGTTAATGGAGTGTTATAAATAAGAAGATTGATAAATATTCATAATATGCATTATTATTAATGTTAATAATTATCCTTATTGAATTTTAATGCAGAACTTAAAAGGTTTTTTAGAAGAAAAGTACATTTTACAAATAAATTTATAATTGAAATAAATAAAAAAAAATAAAAATAAAAAATAATAAAATAAATAAATAATAATAAAAGAAAAAAAATAATAATAATTGAAATAAATAAAAAAAAATAATAAATATTAATAAAATTAATAATATTTTTAAGAAGTTACTTTTACTTTAAAGTAATTGCGAATCTAATGCTAATTTACACACTAAAAAAAAAGTTTTACTTTCAGCCTCTTTTTGAGGCTGAATTTAAGGTGTAAACGGAGTCAGACTTTTTTTTCCTGTGTAATAACATTAAAGAAACTAAAGATAGATATTTAATTAAGTGAATTTATAATCCAAGACAAGAACATTTTATGACATTATACATAGATTTTAATAGTTTTTCATGTTAAATTTGGAATTTTACATTTGGATTTCACTTGTCTGATGTTCATTAAGTATCTAATGAAATGAAAAATAAAAATAATTTTACAAAAATCTACATAGATTTTTCGAATCGCTAATTACGAATCTGAATTGAAATTTAATAAATTAAAAATGGCGGATTCAATATGGAGGACAAATTTTTAAAAAATCGGACAAGTGAAAAATGTATTAGCACTGAAACCACGGATTTCGTACACCAATATTAAATTAATTTGACTAACAAACAAATCAGATAAATGCAGAGAAAGTTAGAACGAAAACCAAAAAAATTTTACCAAAAGAGACAAATTTTTTACATTTAAGTTATTAGAAAAAAAAATAAAAAAAATTTTCTTTGGTTCGCCCTTTAGAAACTGACTTTATAAACAACTTAAGAAAGTGTTCCATAAACCAATTTTATATTTATTTAATATACAAAAAAATTAGAAAAATACAAAAAATTAATGCAAAAAATCCAAAAAGTTCTGCTAAAGAGCCAATTTTTTGCATGTTTTGTAATGGAAAAAATAGAAAAAATTTTTTGTTAGAGTTAGCACGGTGAAAATGCGGTATTGAAAATCCATAAGTGGTTTTTGGTTTTTCAAAAAACCGGTTCTTAAGTCGGTTTTTGGTTTTAAAACTGAAACTGGTATTTTTTAAAAAACCGGTATTTTTAAAAAACAAACGGTATTTTTAAAAAAAAACGGGTATTTTTAATACCGGCATTTAAAAAAAAGGTTTTTTAAATACCCATTTTATTTTATATGAAAACTGGTTCAAGAAAATTTAGTTTATTATATAAATCAGGTTGTTTTTGGAAAAAAAAATTTTTTTTATTGATCGGTCAAGTAAAATATTAAATTTTTATGTTCAAATTTAAAAATTTAATAAGCTTAAATTAGGGTTAGGGTTAAAATATTTATTAAAACTTTCTAGAAAAATTAATTTTTTATTTTATTTTTGGGACATGTTTTTACAAATCTGTTTCGGTTAGATTCGGTATTGGGTTCGAATAACCGGTATTTCCCTCACTGTGATTGAAAATTCAAAACACGATTTTTTGTATCCTTCAGCTTTACCAAATTTTAATGCTACGCTATTCAGGATATTTCCCAATGGAAAAGAAAGAATCTTCTTCGTGATGATGTTCTATATACTGCAAGGTGAAATCTTTGACGCGAGAAATCCTACTGTCCGCTTTTAAAAAATAAAATCACACTATTCTCAATCCACATTTTTTTAATTTAATTCTAATCACAATTTCTTCAAAGGACCTGCAAATATATTAATATCATATAAAAGTTCTTTTAAAAAAAATTTCATTTGAATATAAGGATGAAATTTTTTTTCTTTATTAATTCAGTTTTTTCTTTTTTCCAATAAAAGATTTTTAAAAACAATGCTGTATTTTAAAGAATCCTCTTTTTTCTTCACTTGCCAACAAAAAGAAGTTTGTTAATAGCTGTAGTTAAAACTGGAGTTTTTGCTGTTTATTATTACCCAATGAATACATAATTATTTGCATAAGAACTGTTATTAGGTAAGAGAAAAATGTGTCACTATATTTTACTGTTTTAAATGTTTCAGTTGTTGCACTACTTGGTAAAAATATAAATTTTCTAGAAAACGATCATATTTACTGTACTTATCTATACACATTTATGCTTTCCTCTTAAAACGCACATGTATTAGTATTACTTTTTTTTAAATAATTGACTACATCATCCAAAATATTCAAATATGTAAAGCTGGCTAACGCTCACATTCATAAAAATGAATGTTATATTTGCCTTTATATTAATTTGTGCTCCGGTAATGCTTTTTTATATCATATTTTTGAATTTAATGATCAAAGTTTTTTTTAAACATTAATGCTATAGAATTTTTAAACATGGAAAATACCTTTTTGAAACCAAATACTTATTTGTTGAAAAAATATTTTTTTATTCAACTGGGACTTTACGTTACAAAAAATGAAGTATCGACCAACCAGTCTGTACGAGGTACTTGGAGGCACCTCGTTAAACTTAAAACGTACTCTACTGACACAACGGAAAGACACTCACGTGGTTTGAAATATTCATATGATAACTGGTTGTTCGTAAAGGTAAATGACCTACATATTTTCCCAATAATCCTTTATTCAATTACCACTTAACTCTTCTTAATAAATCAAATTTTTATTTATAACTTATTCAAATAAAAATTATTTAATGCAAAAAAAGGTAAATATAAATCAATACAGAGTCAAATACTGGTTTTAAGTTTAAAGTTTTTTATTCTTTTTATTTGAAGAATTAATTGCAAAAAGTAATGGAAAAAGAAAAAAAATCTGTTAATTAAAAAAACTCGTAACTTTATAAATAAAATGTTTTTATGCATTTAATTTTAGATATTTTAGTCAAGAAAGGTTAAATAAATTGTAAAAAAGAAAATTGTGGAAAAGTAGTTAAGTTTTTTTGTAGGGCATGAAGAGGCAGCAATGTAGGGCATATATGATAAAACAGTTGAAACACAGAACACGATCTCTTCAACTTAAAGTGCATGTGTCAAATGTCGGAATTCATTTCATGGACAGTAATGATGCGAAATGCCGTTAAAGAAAAAAGTTCTTAAAACAGTTAGCAGTTTTCAGAAATAAATAAAAATACGAATTTATTTAAAAATTTACAAAACTAAAAAATAGTTAATTCCATTATTTGAAAAAGAGGGAAGATGTTATTTTCTCGTATAATACAAACAAGAGGAAATGTTGAACAACAACAAAAAAAAGTGTATAAAGTGTGTCGTTTTTTAATTTTTCCCGTCACGAAAAATGAAGGAAACTTAGTTGAATCCGTGGCTCTTGTAATGGTTTAATACCACTTACAAACAACTCTTGGG